AGACTCCGTCTCAAATAATAATAATAATAAAATAATATTTTATGAAAACAATTAACTTTGGTGTACTACTCTTAACTACAGACCTAACTTGTATTTTACCAATTTTATGTCTTATTTTAATTCATAAACTTTAAAACATCTTTATTTTTTAAGAGCAGTTTTAGGTTCATAGCAAAATTGAGCAGAAGGTAAAACATCTCATATACTCACTGTTCCTCCTTTGCCCTCCGGAGCCATCCCTACTATCGGCATTTCCCTCTGTACTTGGTACATTTGTTGCAATTAATGAACCTACATGAACATATTACCCAAAGTCCATGTTTTACATTAGGGTTCATTCTTGGTGTTATACATTCTGTGGGTTTAGACAAACTTATGATATTTATCTGCCATTGTTTTTACTGCCCTAAAAATCCCCTGTTCTGCCTGTTCATCCCCATCATCGCTGCCAAGTAATCATTTTACTATATTCATAGTTTTGCATTTTTTAGAATGTCACATGCTTGGAATCATACAGTATGTAGCTTTTTCATATTGGCTTCATTCACTTTTCACTTAGTAATACATATTTAAGTTTCCTGCATGTCTTTTCATGGCTTGATTGCTCATATATTTTTAGTGCTGAATAATATTCCATCATCTGATGTAAAACAGTTACCCACAAACCTAGTGGAGGATGTTTTGATTGTTCCAAGGGTTTGGCAATTATGAATAAAGCTATAAACATCCATGTGCAGGTTTTTGTGTAGACTAAGTTTTCAACTTCTTTGGGTAAATATGAAGGAGAGTGTTGTAGGATTGCATGGTAAGAATATATTCAATTTTATAAGAAATGGCCAAATGGTATTTGAAAGTGGGTATGTGCCATTTTGTATTCCCACCAGCAATGAAAGTACCCATTGTTTCTCACCCACTTCAGCATTTGGTGGTGTTACTGTTTTGGAGTTTGGTCACTCTTGTAGATCTGTAGTGGTATCTTGTTTTACTTTTGATTCCCTAATGATATGATGTTGAACAGCTTTTCACATACTTGCCATCTGTTTATCTTCTTTGGCGAGGTTCTGTTTGTGTTTTGGGGCTCATTTTCTTATTGTTGAGTTATGAATTCTTTGTATGTTTTGAATGACAGTCCTTTTTCAAGTCTCTTGGAAGTATTTTTTCCCAGTCTGTGACTTGTCTTACTCCATTGGCTTTGTCTTTCATAGAGCACAAGTGTTTTATTTTAATGAAGTCCAGTTTTATCAGTTATTTCCTTCATGGATAGTGCCTTTGATGTTGTAGCTAAAAAGTCATTGTTCTGCAAGGTCATCTAGTTATCTTCTAGGAATTTTATAGTTTTGCATTTTAAATTTAGGTCTATTATCTATTTTGAGTTAATTTTTTATGAAGGGTGTAAGATCTGTGTCTAGGTTTATTTCTTTGCATGTAGATGTCTACAAAGATTGTTGACCATTCTACAGTCTTTGTTGAAAAGATTGTCTTTTCTCTGTTGTATTACTTTTACTCCTTTGTTGAGTATCAGTTGACTATATTTATGTAGGTCTATTTCTGAGCTTTCTATTCCGTTCCATTGGCCTATTTAGTGTTCTTTTGCCAATGCCACACTGTCTTGATTATGTAGCTTTATAATAAATCTTGAAGTCAGGTAGAGTCAGTCCTCCAACTTCGTTCTTCTTTAACATTGAGTTGGCCATTCTGAGACCTCTGCCTTTCCATATAAACCTAGTTTTTAGTTTTTATTATTTTTTTGAGATGGTTTCTCAACCTGTCTCCCAGGCTGGAGCACAGTGGTGCCATCACAGCTCAGTGAAGCCTTTAATTCATGGGTTCAAGCGATCCTCCCACCCCAGCCTCTCGAGTAGCTGGGTCTATAGGCATACGCCACTATGCCCAGCTAATTTAAAATTTTTTTTTGTAGAGATGGGATCTCACTACATTACCCAGGCTGGTCTTAAACTCCTGAGCTCAAGCAATCTTCCCACCTTGGCCTCTGAAAGTTTTGGGATTACAGGCATGAGCCACCATGCCTGGCCCTTTCCATATAAACTTCAGAATCAGTTTGTCAATATCTACAAAATAACTTCATGGGATTGGTTGAGATTGTGTTGAATTTGTAGATCAAGTTGTGGAGAACTGAACATCTTGACAATGTTGATTCTTCCTATTTATGAACACAGAATATCTCTCCATTTAGTTGTCATCTTTCATCAAAGTTTTGTAGTTTACTTCATATAGATCTTGTACATGTGTTGTAAGAGTTACAGCTAAGTATTTCATTTTTAGGAGTGATAATATAAATGGTAATGTTTTATATTTCAAAATCTACCTCTTTATTGCTGGTTTATAGGAAAGCAATTGATGTTGGAAATTAACTTTGTATCCTGCCACTTTGCTATATCACTTATTAGTTCCGGGAGTTTTTTTGTGATTATTTCAGATTTTCTACATAGACTATTACGTCATCTATGAAGAGAGAGAATTTGATATATTTCTTCCTGTCTAATCTTTATACCTTTTATTTCCTTTTCTTGTTTTATTACATTAGCTAGAACTTACAGTATGATGCTGAAAAGCAGTGGTGAGGGTAGACATCCTTGCCTTCTTTCTAATCTTAGTGGTAAAACTTTGGGTTCCTCACCGTTAATTTAATGTTAGCTGTAGGTTTTTAGTAGATGTTCTTTTCAAGGTGAGGAAATTGCCCCTCTATTCCTAGTCTGCTGAGTTTTTATCATGAATGATTTTTGATTTTGTTAATGCTTTTTCAGTATCAGTGTGATTTTGATTTTTTTCTTTAGCCTGCTATTGTAATGGATTACATTAATTGATTTTTGAATCTTAACCCAGGGTTGCATACTGATATGATTTGGCTATGTTTCCACCCAAATCTTGTCTTGAATTGTAGTTTCTATAATCCCCATGTGTTGTGGGAGGGGCCAGGTGGAGACAACTGAATCATGGGGATGGTTTTCCCCATCCTGTCCTCATGATAGTGAGTTAGTTCTCGTGAGATCTGATGGTTTTGTAAGAGGCTTCCCCTTCACTGGTCACTCATTTTTCTTCTCCCTGCCACCATGTGAAGAAGGACATGTTTGCTTCCCCTTCTGGCATGATTATAAGTTTCCTGAGGCCTCACTGGCCATGCTGAACTATAAGTCAATTAAACCTCTTTCCGTTATAAATTACCCATTTTCTGGCAGTTTTTTTTTTTTTTTTTTTTTTTTTTAAAAGATGGAGTTTCACTCTTGTTGCCCAGGCTGGAGTGGAATGATGTGATCTCAGCTCACTGCAACCTCTGCCTCCCGGGTTCAAGCAATTCTCCTGCCTCAGCCTCCCAAGTAGCTAGGATTACAGGGATGTGCCACCACACCCGGCTAATTTTTTGTATTTAGTAGAGATGGGTTTTCACCATATTAGTCAGGCTGGTCTTGAACTCCTGACCTCAGGTGATCCACCAGCCTGGGCCTCCCAAAGTGCTGAGATTACAGGTGTGTGTCACTGTGCCCAGCCTCTGGCAGTTCTTTGTAGCAGCAAGAGAATGAACTAATACACATACCTAGAATAAATTCCACTTGATTATACTGTATAATTCTTCCTATATATTGTTGGATTCAATTTGCTAATATATTACTGAGGATTTTTGCATTTATGTTGGTAAAAGCTGTTGTCCTGTAGTTTTCTTGTAATGTCTTTGGTTTTGGTATTGGGATAATGCTGGCTGCATAGAATGGGTCAGGAAATGTTCTGCTTTAGGAACTGGTATAGTTTCTTCCTTAAGTGTTTAGCAGAATTAACCAACACAACAATATGGGCCTAATGACTTCTGTTTTGGAAGGTTATTAATTATTGATCCAATTTCTTTCAAAGATACAGACATTCAGATTGCCTATTTCTTCTGTGAGTTTTGGCAGATTGTGCTTTTTTTTTTTTTTTTTTTTTTTGAGACGGAGTCTCGCT